TAAGGGAAAGGAAGGAAGAAGAGGAAGAAGTTTCTTCTGTGCCTAAACTGGCAAAGTTGGAAGACATGTCACTGCCTTCTTCCAGTCATACCCAACCCATAACTTCCTCAACATGGAAAAGTAAAATAGAACAGCCTCAAAAAGAGCAATATACCCTAGACCCAAAAACAAATCTTTTACTTACAGAAACGGGTATAAAGTGTGCAACAGAAAGTAGAAAATCAGAGAGTGATAAAATTGCTGCTAAAAATATTTCCAGTACAAAGCCTGTATCAAATAAGAGAAAAGAACAAGATGACTTAATAGAAAATACGGATACCCTAGAGTTTGTGTTTGGGAGTAAACATCTAGATTGGGAAGATAACACGGAGGATCCTGGTGTTGAGCCTCAAGCCAACACACAGAAAAAAAGGCGGCTGGAAACTGATGAGAACAGAATTGAAAAAGAAAATGTAACAAGAAATGAAGGCAGTAGAATATTGGTAAGGAATGCTCTTTTATTAAACATGGGTTACAAGCTTGATCCTGCAAGCTGCATCTCAATTAGGAGCCATGTGCAGCATACGCTGTCAGCACAGAGACAAATATAGTTTGAACAGGTACAAGCTTTGGGTAGTTTGATTGCATGAACACTATAGTAGCTCTCAAGCTGTTTTCAACTAGTAGCTGTATAATTTTTTGGATTAAATTTAAGTATTGTTGTGATAGACATGTCTAAATATACTCCCTCACTTTGCAGGACTAATGAATAGCATGTTTTATTTCCCCAGATACATTCTTTGTGAATTTAAGGCAATATTAATTTGCACTTTATCTTTTTGAATGTGTTTTTTAAATTCTGTTAAAGAAATCCAGATCTTGCTTTTCCAAGGGGCAATAGGATAAGCAGGACAGCTAAATCTTTCTCTAGCCTAATAACAACATATTTAGTACTGACTGTAGCTCATGCTGGTAATGATAGTCTATGCCAGGCTTGTCCAACATATGGCCCACGGGCTGCCATGTGGCCCTCCAAGCTGTTTTCTGAGGCCTGAGGTGCTGCGACAGGAAACAAAAGTAAACACTGTACTTTCATTTCGGGGGGGGGTGGTGATGTGATACTGCTTCCTGTGAGGTCTTTGAATATGGCTTGCCAGCCCACTGGGTGATAAAAAGTTCATGATGCAGTGCCACATTCAAAAAGGCTGGACACCCCTTGTCTATGCTGTATTTTCTTGCATACCATATGTCCCTGTAATGAGACGCACATCTTGTTTTGGAAAAGCAGAATGAAGAAAGAATTTCCCCCCCTAGTTATGGCTGAAGGTGAACTGCATGAAGCAGCTCACTTGCCCTCAGCCTGCATGCATAGGCAAAAGATAGTGTCAATTTGGCAGCAGGTGTGAGAGTTGAAACTCTTGCTTTGACACTAAAGAGTGGACTCCACTCCTGCTGAATATTGGCTGGAGAGGAGGATAGCACCTGCAGCCATTCCATGTCTCTGTGCCGCCAGCAATTTAACACCACCCCCTTATATCAATACACACAACACATTTATTACAAACTAAATTTTTAATGTGGATAAATGTGACCTTAGAATCCTTTTTTTTTCTCTTCATTTTTGTGGGGTCAGATAAAAACTGCTTTTGGCATTTCAAATAGGAATCTGAACCCTGAAAAGTCTAATTGTACTGAAATTCTGGCTTGTTGATTAAGGAAAAACTTAAGCCAATCTCATTTGAACATTTCATTAGGCAAACTGTGTTGGGAGTTAGAAAGTAACTGGTTCCAAACTAACATATTTGTACCAGCAAAAGTTATTTACTAGTAAAGCTTAAACTGGTTCCCTAAATAGGATAAGCTTGAAAGATCCATTTTAGCAGTTTATACCATCAAGATTACCTAGTATTTCTCTATGGATATATTAATCCTAGCAAGTACTTTTAAATATGGACAGGCTTTAGTTATCTGATATTATAGACAGATTGGGTTTGACCCTAAAACTATGTGGTGTTTAAGCTGAAACACAGAATTTAATTTAATTTGAACTCTTCAGCATGACTTCAGCCATTTGTGAGTAAATTAGGAAATATTACATTGTTTTTGAATCATGGAAGATGATTTACTGTGCTATTTCCATCTGATTTTTTTTCCCTTCATACTAAGTGCCATCTGCCACATTAACATACTTTATTACCAGATAGACTTAACAGTTTCTTCTGAACGTTTCCCATTGAACAAAACTGTGAGAAGTACATCTGCAGAGCACCCATGAGAAGCAAGCCAACTTCCTCCCTTAAAACAGTTTAAAGTTACCTCTCCCCTTTACTTGATACATCAATTTAAAATATGAAAGTAGTACTTTCAGATAGAGATGAAAGTCTACAGTAACTTTCAGGATTTGAGGAATTCATACTTAAGGACAAGACTTTCTAGTTCTTTAATTAGAAAATATTTGTTCAAATAGCAGGAAAACAAATTTGGGTGTGTTCTGACTTCAGAGAAGGAAAATAAGATTAAGCAAGAATCATCAGTGTTGGTAAGTAATCAGTCAGATCAAGGAATGTTTTTTAATAATGTTTTAATATTAACCACTACTCAGAAGATGCACCAAAGCTTTGCTTTTTGAAAAAGAGCATGCGTGAGCCATGGGATAAAAGGGTTGAGTAACTGAAAGCTTGTCTACATGTAGAAATTTGATTGCTTTAAATATGCCAATATAATTTAGTTAGAACGTGCTTATAGCTTTCCTACTGCAGAAGCAGTTGCCTTTGTTTAAAAGTGCTTGTTTCTGCATTGTACATTTCGTAGTCATTGGATAAAATGGATAGACAGCAGCAGGGAAAGTGTCTGGCCCATTGGAGGGAGGAGCTAAGGTAGGAACTCTAGGGCCACCTCCCTTCTAGAGCACTGCCCATATTGCTGTGCTGCACAAGAAGCTTCCTTCTGGCTTGCTTTCCTGCTAGTCCCACTCCTGGCTGCCCAGTGGACCAGCTGCAGTGGAACAGGTCAGGTACTCCTGGCCACACCTGTCTCATGGCCCGGTAGTTAGGATACTCTGCCAGCAGGTGGGAGATAAGGGCCTAGAACCTGGATCTTCCTTTCTTAGCACATTTCTAACCACTACATTCTCAGGCTAAAAAGGTTATCTGCTGGTATGGACAAAATGCATGTTCATAGTGACTTCTAAAGGGCAGAGTGAGCTGCTACCGGAGAATAATTGTTACCTGTGTGCGTGCCTATAGCAGTACAAATGTAGCAAATGTGTTCAACTTGTTAATTTTGCTTGTCCAATTCCAAACAACAGAAGCTCCCTAATTTTCTTTCGAAGCTGCTACAAAAATACATTTCTCCATATCCTTAAGTCTTCCTCTGGCATTAAACAATTGTTAGTCATGGCTTCTTGGGAGCTTACATGGAGTTATGCATCTTTCCAGCTGGAAAAGGATTGCAGCAGTGTGTGTGGCCCAAATGGGGAAATTGTTTTGTTGTGCAGGGTGGAGTAGGAACTAAAATCTATGTAAGTGGCCTGAAATACTACTTTTTCAGGTAACTAGCCATGTAAGTACTACTTACCAGCTTTAAAGTGGGATATCATGCGGGAGTGAACTTCTGTGAACAGTGTGTTTGACTAGAATTACAGAAAGTTACAATTTATTTTATTTTCCTGAACAAGGTCTCAGGTTTTAAGAGTTTGGTAAACATTCCCTTATTATATCTCTTAACATTTCTGAGTAAGTTAAGTATTAGGTTATGTGATATTTTTCAAGGAGAAATCTGTTTCAGCTCTATTTTAGAGGCCAGGTACTGCTGTATTCTCAGCTTGTATCTGTTCTTTGCTTCCTATTTCTCAACTGTAAAGTTTAAACTATTGGATCTTGTAAAGAAATACGTGGAGTTTATTAAGCAATCTGAAGTTCTCTTTCCCCCTTCCTCCCAGCCCAAGAGCCCTGACAAACTTCATGATGATTCTCACAGTTTGCCCAGCAAACTCCTGTTGACTGAGTTTAGATCACTGGTTGTCAGTCATCCAAAACCAAATGCTCAAATCACTGCAAAAAACAATTATGGGGAACTGAAAAACTACAAGAAATTCAAAAAGGTTAGTGTATATTTTAAACTCTATCACAAGGTGGCACTGTTGGAAATATGTTTACAGATGTTGTCATGATGCAGATAAACTGTTACAGAATGAAAGTTATTCTTTAGAAGTTCTGTTGCTGCTTATATTTACTTAAACTTACTATCAAAATTGTGTATTCGTACAAAAATAGCTGGCAGGTACCAGGTAGTGATATTTATGGTACTTATGGTGTTTTTATAGGCTTGCGTAACTTGTACTTGAACCAGCCGACTAAAAGAAACTCTGTGATTGCTTATAGAATTCTAACTCCAAGTTTATATGTCCACAGAAAGTTCTGTTGACTTGAATTGAATATTTTAACTAATAAAATTAGGAAGTTAAAATGTAAAATTAAGCAACGATCATTCAGGATCTGGAAGCAATTTTTAGAAAACTATTTAGTGTTCAGTGTAAAAGTACTGCTTCAGCCTAGAATTTACAGAAGAATTGTAATCTGATCTAAAATACTCTAAGCACACTTGCACAAGGAGCTACATTTTAAAATGCTTTAACTGAAAACATCTTGAAAAGCACAACATTTTCCAGGCAAATGTTTCTGTCATTTAGAAGTGGCATTTTTAAAACTGTTTAATAAAACTTGAAAATATGTTCAGAGAGATTTTCTCATATTGAAATGGGTTCTGCATTACAAATTCAAAAAATAGTACCTATCAATAAAATATCAATTTCTACTTTGTTCAGAATTCACTTAAATATATTGGTAGTGTTAATGATCTGGTAGCCACAATGATCCAGGAATTATGTGAGAAGATGGGATTTTTCAGGGGGGTTATACTTTTATCCGACCAGCTGCATGGTTGCGATGAAGTTAGACAGGCTTTCAAATGCAATGCATTAATCAGGTCTGAGGAGAAACCTTTAAAATAATTAATATTTTAAATATATTATAGCGCCTATTTTAGCAGCAGTATGTAGCTGATCATAGCAGTCTGCTGATAATGAAGGAGTTTGCAGTGTTCTGCTGCTACATTCTTTTCAGGAAATCCTCAATGGTTATTTGTTGTATATCTACATCCACTGGCAACTGAAAGAAATGTATTCGTCTGTTCTGTCTGCCAGGGTTTCTTGAATTTACTAAAATTGTGTTTCATCTTGTGAAGTTGTTAACCAGCACTGTAACAGCAACCATTTGGTACCTAACAGGTAGCTTATCCTGGAGTAGGACAGCTTCCACACATTATTGGAGGATCTGATCTTATAGCTCATAATGCCAAAAGGAATTCAGAGTTAGAAGAATGGTTAAGGCAGGAAATGGAGGTAAGGAATTATTTCCAGATGACCAAACTTAATCAGTGCTTTATCCTTTGGTGAATCCTTTGAACAAGCCAGCTCTGAGCCTGTGTTCTGAACAAATCTGACACTTACATAGGTACATGTGCACACACCCACGTACCCCCATGGATGCAAAGCATTCAATCTTAAGTCTGATTTTGTGCCATCTTTTTGAATGACTTGGATATGCAACTTCCAAACAGCCAGCACAGAGAAAACAGTGCAGTAAAACTAAAACAAAAAGTATTAGCTAAGGAAAGACTGATGGTTAAGCTAAATAAGCATTTTGATGAAACTCCACTCTGTGGAAATCCTACCAGTGGCCGTGAAAGCTTTTATCTTAAGCTTGGTGGCTTCTTGTAGTCAAGTTATTATCATGCCGTGTGACTGACATTCTGCTCTTTGGTAGAATAGAACATAGTCAATACCATATTTCCTCACATACAGCATCCCCAAATATAATACGCACCTTATTTTGAAAGGCAGAATGAAGAAAAAAGATTTTTCCAGAGTTAAGGCTGCATGAGCAGGGACAGAGCCTAATCTTGAGCTGACTCGCCCTCCTTTTAGAACTAAAACTGAGTCCTTTGCTGTAGCTGAAGACTGATCTGCATGGGTGGATCTATGATTTTGAGAAGTGCCAATGTGTCTGAGCTAAAGAAGCTGTGAAATGGAAAGCAGAAAAAGCTAGCAGATGGCAAACTGGTCATAAGAAAGGTTAGCTTGATTAATGGAACATCAAGATCATTAAAAAGGAGAGACTATCATTAATACCTGTAGAATGAAGAACAGGCAGCCCTTAAGTCAATTAACTCCTTCAGCTGCTTGAACAGTACTAGTATAGGTACTGCACTATGAAACATGGATCAAACCAGGGTGCTTCCAACCCCATGGAAAAAATTAACTTCCCTGCTTAATACATGCAGCCCAGCTTTAGGGGGCTGATTTTGGGGGTTCATATTGCATGCAAGAAAATACAGTATTTAGATTACATACATGCATGACACCTGAATTTTGTAGGGAATTTTTACTATAAAATATTTTTTATCCTTACATGCATCTTACATCTTATTGTAGTAGTTCTCAAGTGTTTTCATTCTGTCAATAGTTTCTATAAACTGGTGTCAAAGGCCATGTACCATTCTAGCATACCAATCCAGCAATATAACCTGATTAATTGAAAAGATAGTAGGTAGTAATAAAGAGAGAGTGCAAACAATAGGGCTTCTTTCCCTTCCCTATTTTGCTGTTTTATTCTTCTTGGTTATCAGAACTCTATTCTACCACAAGGAATCTCATTTCATTGTTTTGCAATATGGTAGTACTGTAGTTTCTGATGTTGTGTTTGGCCTCCAACACAAATCTGATCGTGGTGCAATTTATATCAGGCACATGCAAGAGAGAGATGCATTAGTTGTGCAGCAGAATAAGGATCTTGCTATTTTTTTCCATCCTGTTGAAAAGCCACTACAAGCCCGAACATGTAGGTCAGATTTCACTTAACAAAGAATCCCCACTTGAAGACACGTGCTTCACCCAAGCAGAAACAGTTTGGGTTAGAAGTGCACAGGTCATATTTGGGTTTATGTTATTACTAAAAATATTTATTTTCAAAGTATTTTAAAACAGTTTGCAAAAAAAGACATATACAGAACACAAATTAGTTTTGAGAAAGGC